GCTTTACACTATATTATTACCCCAGCAGACCATAGAACATTCCGAAACATTCTCAGCTTCCCGGGAAGCATACAGTGCAAGCAGCTGATTAAGCGCTCAAACACTAACAAACTGACAAGATCTTTCGCTGTCTATAGCCGGGTACCCATTCCCACCTGGGTGAAGTGAGGAAAATTCGTGTAAAGTGCCTTTCCCAAGGACACAACGTCGGGTCCCTGACGGGATTCGAACCCACGACCTTACGGTTGCGAGTCCGAGAGCCTAACCACTAGGCCACCAACGCCACAAATAATGACCCGCACTAATTGATAAATGTCTCCATGGGTAAGTCTGTTTACTTTTGTTTGGATCGGCAGGCACTTTACTTGGACACAAAGGAAGCGCTTCTAAAATAGTACGCTCTATCTATACCACTAGAATGTTGTAGAAACAGTCACGTCTTTTTTTTTTGGTATACTGTTTGTGCCTTTTACGCCCCCATCGACTCACAGTTTAGATCGTTTAAGAGTCGGGCTTTGATTGACCCTGCTACTCACTGCTAACCCGGGCTAACAAATATACAATATATCAGCGGAAAGACCGAGATACTTGATAAAGAGGCTTCGTTAAAAAATAAATCATTGAACTTTGACTGTGCTAACTCCGAACTCCCCCCCCCCCCCCTTTCGGAATACGGAATAATCCTTTGAGCACAATACAGCTTTCTGCTAGAGAAAACTAGCGTCTGTGGTGAAGCGGTTAGGTTGTTTGCCTTTGTACAGAGAAAGTGTAAGTTTGATACCCGGATGGGAAAGTTTTTTCTAACAATATCAAGTCTGTCTGTTGGCAGGTCGTATCCAACCCAGCTCGTGGGGTGACTTAAGGAAGGTGGCCCAGTGGTTAGGCTACTAGACTCGTAATCGTGAGGTTGTAGGTTCGGGGGTTCGAGCCGCGGTCCCGACGTTGTATCTTTGGGAAAGGCACTTTACACGAATTTCCCCCACTTCACCCAGGTGAAAATGGATACCCAGCTATAGACAGTGAAAGATCTTATCAGTTTGTTCGTATTTGAGCGCTTAACCAGCTGCTTGCACTGTATGCTTCCAGGGAAGCTGCGAATGTTTCGGAGTGTTCTACGGTCTGCTGCGTATTTTTTTGATATAGTGTAAAGCGCATAGAGCTTGCTTTTGAGTGGGGACATGCGCTATACAAATGCTATTTATTATCTATGATCATTATTAAGTTAAAAAATATGAAGTGACTTTGATTTTAAAAATATGTAGTAACCTGAATAAATGAAGTGAATTTCAATTTTAAAAAATATGAAGCCAATTTTGAGTTGTTTTTTTAAAGCAGGAAATGACTTGATGATAGGTAAATGCATGTTCATACATTTACAAAGGTAAGATAGACATTTGGTGCGTAATGGTGAATACACACATACCCACAGACACACAGACACACGCACACACTTACACACTCACAAATACACACTCATACACAGACACACACACACACACACACACACACACACACACACACACACACACTTTCTTTCTCTGTCTCTTTCACACACACACGCACACAAACGCTCATACACACACACATACACACACACACACATACACACATACGCACACACAACAGTGTTAGTGGTGTAGCGGTTAGGCACTTCACTATCGCACCCAGAAGACCCGAGTTCGATCCACGAATAGGGCGAATGTTTATGGACTATGTTAATATTTCTGCTCAAATGTTGTATCCCTATTAGCTCTGGTTAGACTTGACCGTCAGGGTCTGAGCCAGAGCCCTAAACGATATATGTATAACACACACACACACACACACACACACACACACACACACACACACACACACACAAGCACGCACACACACACACACACACATATATATATATATATATATATATATATATATATATATATATATATATATATATATATATATATATATATATACAGGTATATATACACACATAAACATGTGAGGCAGCGTAGCGTGGTGGAATCAGGCTCTCGTCAAAGTAATGAAATCAAAGATATTGGCATTTTTCTGCCCGTTTGGCCATTTTTATCAATTTTTTTTAAAAAGCTCAACAGCTTTTATGTCCACTTAAAAACACATTTCTTGGTTAATTATCCCGAAAAAAGTTGATTAAAGGTACCCAAAAAAATTTACATTTCAGTTTTCAAGGACTCTCACGCATTCAAGGATACCAAGCTTTGGTGGTCATTTTCTCCCTTATATTTCCTTTGAAATCAGGTTACCCTACTTATTTCAATCACAGATATTTCGACTTCTATTAAAGATAGATGGGTACTTTTTCCCCGAAAGATAAACGGATGAACAGGCTTTAAAGTGACACGAATAACTCTACAAGCCAAAAAAATTGACGAGGGCCTGATTCTACCACGCTGGCTCACCTATATGCACGCTCTAAAATTATGCTCTATGCGCTTCACAGCAATGCATAATTTTATTTAAAAAACGCTTTTCAAATGCACCTAGCGTTTGTTGGTAATATCGTCCTCACACCTCCTAGTAAAGGATTGTATCAATCCGCGGCACCGCTTTCATCTTAAGGGCATTCCTTTAAGTGAGGCAATTTTAATAGAGCTAAATATAATATGTGAGGTAGGCTGAAAAATGAGTTACTTCCATAGTTTTATCACTGAGGGCGAAGTTACTTTGAATTTATAGGTTCAGTTTGTGCAATGTATAGGTATAAAATAATAATACACATTGACATGTGAAACTTGAAGAAAATGACATCGGTTGTAAATCTACAAATTTGACTCCAGAGACGAGTCTCAGTCTATATCCCCATTCTCGGATTGTTAAAGCAACAGGGGCTCCCAGCATCTCTGGTAAATTAATGTGGACGGATAAACCAAATACATAATATTATACTATTATCATTTAAGAGGAGGGTCTCCCAATAATGTCCGTCTCCCTTTCATGGTCGTGCTGATATTTTTGTTTTCAGCTCTCTCCAACAATTTATGATTTGCAATATGTTTATTCCATTTTATTAATAACATTCTTTGTAAATTTTTTTTTTGAAAACGTTAAAAAAATTTCCACTGGACTGCTTTATTTGATTTCAATAATTTCTGCGAACCATACATCTGTTCTGCCAAAACATAGCTATTATAATATTTTGAATTCAATCTTCAGTGAGATGATCTTCGAATTCCGTACGATTTTTACTAGTTACCTCACAAGTTAATAGCACTTAATTCTCGGTTCCCAACAAACCCCAAACCATAGTTCCAGAAAAGTAGCTCGCAATTTTATTTGACATGACATGGACACTCATGATTTAATTATAGGCCTACAAAAATGCTAGATTCTACGCATGTCATTATTTAAAATCACAAAGCTATACAAACAGCGGTTATTTATTTTTTCCATTTCACTTTTTCTCCTTTCACCGATAAAAACCTCTAAGCGTTTTTCAAAAATCTGTTTCTAAAGATAGGTACATGTGTAAGTACTGTGGTTGTTTGTAATTACTTCGGGATTCATTCAGGATATGTTTAGATTACACACTTTAGTGCGCCAGTTGGAAGCAAAGCTGGCGTATGTCAAGTAAATAAAACCAGGGATTTTAAGAGAAAAGTGCTCCTGGACTGGCAGGTTTGTGTTTATTTTAAGAGTCAAGTTTTTGATAAGTCAATTTTAAGTCTGCAGTTAACCATCGTAAAAACTTTGTCTGGGTTTTGTTGTTGTTATTGGGTTATTTTTCCTTTGGTTTTTTTAAAGCTGAAAAGGACGGAGAACTCTCTTATCTTCTGCGAAGGTAAATAGCACAATTACTCGTGACTTGCATTTTATGTGTGTGTGTGTGTGTGTGTGTGTGTGTGTGTGTGTGTGTGTGTGTGTGTGAGTCTGTGTGTGTGTATCTCTCTGTGTGTATGTGGGTGTGTAGCGGGATGGGAGAGGTAAATAATTATTTTGTCGCCCTGCCCGGTTTGTTTCTCTCTCTCTCTCTCTCTCTCTCTCTCTCTCTCTCTCTCTCTCTCTCTCTCTCTCTCTCTCTCTCTCTCGCTCTCGCTCTCTCTCTCTCTCTCTCTCTCTCTCTCTCTCTCTCTCTCTCTCTCTCTCTCTCTCTCTCTCTCTCTGTATGTGTTTGTGCTTGTGTGTGTGTGTGTGTGTGTGTGTGTGTGTGTGTGTGTAAAAAGGGTGGGGTTTAAAAAATTAATTGTCTCCTTCCTCTCTTACTCTCTCTCTCACTCTCTCTCACTTTCTTTCTGTATCTGTCTCTATCTATCTGTCTATCTATCTACCTATCTATCTACCTATCTATCTACCTATCTATCTACCTATCTATCTATCTACCTATCTATCTATCTATCTATCTATCTATCTATCTATCTATCTATCTATCTATCTATTTATCTATCTATCTATCTATCAATCTATCTATCTATCTATCTATCTATCTATCTATCTATCTATCTATCAATCTATGTCTTTCTCACAGTGTGTTTGTAGTTGTTGCGTGGGGGTGGGACGGGGAAGGGGTTTGAGGGGGGGGGATACATTTTCTAAACATTAAATTTGGACGTTTGACAGTGTGTACAGACAGTTGAACACACTCATCGCCTCAAAGTTTTGCTTTTGCTTTCAGTGCTTTACCAGGCCTAGGTTATGTCCCGTGTGATATAAGAATGATACGCAGCCAAGACAGATCGATCTTTGGAAAGGACGGGTTGGATAGAAGTAGGAAAAGGGGGGGGGGCACTTTTCTTTCTTTCTTTTTCCTTCCATTGTTTTTTAAAAATTAATTATTTATTTGGAAAGGAGGGGTTGGGGGGGGGGGGGCGCACTCATTGCAGTACCAGCTAGAGCAAACAGGAGCATTTCAGTACAGAACATCATGTTTCATTAAACTACAGTTCTTGTGTTAAAGAAAGAATCTAAATGAAAAAGCATTGTGGCCAATTTCCCATTCCATGATTGAAATAATGTGCCTTTTATTCTTTTCTACGCAGGTGCAAAGATGTGTCGTTTTATATCACTGTGACGTTTGTTTGGAGGATGACTTTCTATTGTTTCAAGACGTATAATGTCTTTTGTTTGAAGCTAAAATTCTTCGTTAACATGTGAAAGACGTCAGTTGTGCCACAGTATGTACCAAACTTGACCAAACAGCGACTTTTAATTGGTACTCTTGATGAGCAATAGGTTTATTCGTGCTATAGTACGTGCTTGACTTCTCTTTCAACGCTACACCACCGTTCCAAAAGCGGAACCTTCAACTAATCGTCCATATCAAAGACACCCGAGTCTAAGGAACATGGGGACGTCTCAAGCAAATGAGCGTTTAAAAATGGAAACTATCAGAATATTATGTGAGGTACGGTGACAAAATGAGTTACATCTTGGGTTTTATCCCGGTTTGCAAAGATACTTCAAATTTATAGGTGTCAGCTTGTGCAATTTATAGATATAAAAGGATAATAAGCATGTGAAACTTGAAGAAAATGACATCCGTTGAAGATATACAATTATGACCCCTGCGGCAAGTTTTGGCCTATATCCCCATTCTCGGACTGTTAAAAGCAACACTTTTTGTCAGCAACCCTTACAGATAATGACTATATATAGTTTTTTAATAATAAACTTAAATCAACGTTACTAAAAAGCTTGAATTAATTTCTTTAAAAAACAAAGAATCTTTTGAAAAATTAATTTTAGCAACAGAGAAAGCACCGAAAAATATAATCGAGGCTATGGAACAAGTTATATTGGAAAATATAACGTCGGGGCAAGACAGTTCCGTCGCGCCGTTGGTCAGTGTGACAGCCCTACGCACTATCGAAACGGCATTTCTGGTCCTTCTCAGTAGCTTTGTCTGTGTGTTTGGCATATTTAGCAACATCGTGAACCTTATCATTTTCTGGAAACACGGCTTCCGGGAGAGCATCACTGTCGGGCTGACAGGCCTAGCCGTTTCCGATCTTGGCGCCGTTATCAGTGGTATAATTCTTAGCATCTGCTTTAACCCTATGATTCCCTTCTCAGAGTTAGGGGTCAATATCATAGAAGTCCAGAAGCTGGTAGGCTCTCGACCACGTGTATGTTTCGCGCGCATCACAGGCCTTATTACCATGTACCTCGCCTTCGAAAGATGTCTGTGTGTGGCTGTGCCGCTGCACGTGAAGAGAATACTCACACCACGTCGGACGTTGGCAGCAGTCATGTCTATCTCTGCTTTGGTCATCCTCATCGACAGTCCCATCTACGCCGCCTTCAGACTCGACTGGACATTTTCCCCTTCCAAGAATGCATCTGAACTAGGTATAGTCTCGGCACCAAATGCGAAAGATCTCCAGGGTGTTAGTTTCGTCATCAGTGCCAGTGTACAAGTCATCTCTTTCGTTGTCCTAGTTGTGCTGACGTCAGTCCTGGTGGTTTTGTTAAAGAGGCGGTCCCAATGGAGAACACAGGTGACACGATCGACAGCCGGGTCATCACACAGAAAGGACATCTCTCGTCAAGAACAGAAAGCTATCAGGCTGACCATCATGGTAGCCACGATTCTCATTTGTTCTCTACTCCCGGGCTCTTTGCTTTTCTTTGCTGCATTTTTAGAACCAGAGTTTAACACTGGGCGTCGTTACCAGAATCTTTACATTAGTATCTGGTCCGTTATCTCCTTTAGTGAAGTTTCCAATTCGAGTGCCAATATTTTTGTTTACTATAAGATGAACACAAAGTACAGAAATACTTTTCGAGATTTGTTTTGTAGAAAGAAAGATGTTGTTACAGCATCTCCAGGTGATATGTCTGGCTCTGTAAAGTGAGCGTCTCCATCTCGTCGTCACAAATTTATTAATTTTTTTACATACTCTATCTAAACGCACTTCAATAAGTGTATCATTTTGATAAAAATGCTTTAATATTTTGTTCATTTAACAATAGTCAGAATTCACCTCATTTGCACCTTAGAAGTAAATTGGTTTTGATGTTTTGCATCCTGCAACCGGAATACACCTCAGTTGTTTAGAAGAAGCTAGACACATGTACCTCAGTTATTATAGTATTCGCTTCAATTGTACCTTACTCGTAGAAATAAGTGGTTTTACTATCAATTTTTTCTTCGTCTTTTCCTATTAAAAGGAATTTTATTTGTATATTATAAATGAAGTTGGTGATTATTTTTTTTCGGCATTGTGTTCATAGTATATGCAATACTCAAATCACTGTACAATAAAGAGAGGCGATACAAAAGGTGGTGGTGGTGAAAGAACTCGATGATACACAGAGGAAGCTCTTGGTGAATGGGAGAGGGAATCGAGGAACAGTTTGCAGGTGAATGAAAAAGACGTAGAAAAGAATGTGTATGGCCAGAAAGTTGGGAGCAAATGATCTTAACTTCAAAAATAATAATTCTTTTCTTCAACCTGTATCTGCTCTCAATACAAACTACAACATCAAGTTAACAACACCAAAAATAACAGCTTGGAACAGAGTTTATTTTGCAAAAGATTTTTTTCTTTTAAAGAGTCGGAAACAGCACTGCTATGTAGGCGCTAATAAAACCCTCTGACTGTGGCTAATGCAAGACACTCGAGTCAGTCGTGAGGACGACCAGTGTCTATTTTCACTGCCCACCCTATAGACGGTTCTATCTAACCAAATAACCAGTGTCTATTTTCACCGCCCACCCTATAGACGGTTCTATCTAACCAAATAACCAGTGTCTATTTTCACCGTCCAGCCTATAGACTGTTCTATCTAACCAAATAACCAGTGTCTATTAAAGTTTGCTGCGTCCAGCCTATAGACTCTGTTCCATCTAACCAAACGACCAGTGTCCAGCCCACATGATGAGCGTGCATCTATGTACAGTCTCCCTCGGATATGTTAATGTCGTCAATGGCTATGTCGGCGTGAGAAGTGTAGGCTTCGAACACCAGCCTGTAGGGTGAGGAGCTGGACTGAGAGACAGAGTTCATGGCGTGGTACCACTTCATGGAATGCTGACTGCCGTAGCTGCTCACTGTATGACTGTATCCGGAGTCCTGTTCGGTTATAAGCCGGAGACGACCGGAAGAACCGTGGTTAAAGAACCAGTAGTCCACACATAGTTTTCGGGCAGTGTAGATCTTGGATCTGAAATTGAAGGTGGGAAGGGTGACGGATGGATATGGGGGAGGGACAAGGGCATAGGGGATATGTCTTGGTAATTGTTATTGTTGCTGTTGTTGCTGTTGCTGTTGTCGTTTGTGGTGATGATGGTAATAGTGGTGGTGGTGGTTGTTGTGGGGATGGTTGTTGTGATAGTGGCACCATTTTTTTTCTGTGGTCGCACATAATTCAACGTAAATTATGTCAAAGTCAGCATACCCGGTTTGCCTCCCCCCCCCCCTCGCCCGTCTTAAGCTTTACACAATTAAGTTAACACTACCAACTCGCGCATAACCTCCGCCCCTCCTGTTCACATCACCCCCATTTAGTAAGCACCAGTGACATTCACCCCACATCCCCCAATCTTCTTAACAAGTATAACGGACCTCCCCTCCTCCTTTACATCACACCAATGACCAGCCTCCCCCTTTTCCTCCCTTCATCTCCCTCTGCCCCTTTAATAAGCCCCACTTCGTCTCCTCTCTTTTTCACCACCTTGAGTAAGCAAAACTGACACCCCCCTCCTTGAAATCACAACATTGATATCCCTCTATCCGTGCCCCCACTAGCCTCCCTCTGATAAGAACCACCTCCTCCTTTCCTCCCATTCCACATCTCCTTTCAGTAAACACCCCCCCCCCCCCCCCCCATAATTAATGCCAGCCCTCATCCCACCCTCCCACCTCCCTTAAGTGAACCCCAGCCCCTCCCTCAATTAACACCAACCCTACCACCTCCCGTTAGTTAATGGCAACACTCCCATTCCCTCCTACCTCCCTCAATTTGATGCCAGCTCCCCCTCCCCACCTCATTACGTTAACGCCAGCCTTCCCACCCCCATCCAACCCCCTCCCACCTCTCCTAAGTTAACACCAGTCCTCTCACCCTCTCCCACCTCCTTTAAGCTAACGCCAACCCTACCACATCTTCCAACCTCCCTTAAATTACCACAAACCCTCCCACCTCCCTTAAGTTAACGACAACCCTACCACATCTTCCCACCTCCCTTAAGTTAACGACAACCCTACCACATCTTTCCACCTCCCTTAAGTTAACGACAACCCTCCCACATCTTCCAACCTCCCTTAAATTATCACCAACCCTCCCACCTCCCTTAAGTTTCAACCACTGACCTGATCCTGGCGTGCTTGCTGGAGTGACCGGAAGCCTTAGCAATGAGGTAGTTGTCCACGCCCGTGGTTATTCCAGCCCCAGGTCCCGAGGAGCTGTGTCCGCTCTGGACTGTCCAGTCGAACTGGTCGTGGGTGTCCTGTGTCCACTTACACAGGCCTTTGGCGAAGTCGCAGTGGTCATCCGGGGAGGAAAGCCACTGTACAATGTGACTCGTGTCCTCCTTTTTTTTTTGAGGGGATGGGGGGATAGTGGAGAGGGAAGAGGGGAGAGGGGAAGAAGGGAGAGAAGAAGAAGGGGGATAGGGGAGAAGGGGGATGGGAGAGGGGAAGAAGGCAGAGAGGGGATAGGGGGACGGGAGAAGGGGAAGAGGAGGGGAGAAGGGGGAGAGGAGGGGAGAAGGGGGAGAGGAGGGGAGAAGGGGGAGAGGAGGGGAGAGGAGGGGAGAAGGGGGAGAGGGGTAGAGAGATGAAGAGGTTGGATGAATCTGATACATTCTTTATAAGTGCACTAATATTCTGACAGAGAGGAGATACATCCTCTGTAAACGTAATAATAACTGACAGAGAGGAGATACTGTCTCTATAAGTGTAATAATATTCTGACAGACACAGGATACCTGGATGTGTCGTCTCTGATTCGGAGGTTGACGTGTAGTGGCCCTCAAATCCTTCACGGTTACGAGCTGCCCACCCATGTTACTCTTTGTCTTTCCCTGGCTCTCTTGTCCCACATCCTTCCTTCCAGCACCTCTTTCACAATGGTCTCGTGTAATTTTTAAGTGGCCAAAGTATTTCATTTTCCTACATTTTATTTTGCCCAGCAGGGTTTGTCTTGTGTGGAGAATCTAAATCACCTCATTATTCGTCTTTTTTGGCTTCCCAACCTATTCTGGCCTTTCTGGGTAGCACCACATCTGAAACGCGGCTATTTTCTTTTCTTCTTTCTTCGTCAAAGTCCACGGTTTTATCAGAAGGAAACAATAAAGTGGTCTTAATTATTTTAGAAGAAAAAAGATTGTTTTATAGATGCCCTCCAAAGATTTAGTGACTGCAAGATTGTCGTCAACAAGTCGAGAATGTCGCCGCGGTCGAAAGCAGCACGTGGCTGTCTAGGTAAGAGTAAAGATTATAAAGCGCATACAGCTTACTTACAAACTGTGTAATCTACAACACTTATTACAACAGTATATTTGAAAACTTACATTTTACCTGTGTAGCTTAACATGAACATTGCGACTGTGTAACTTAACACTTTTGTTACGACTGCGCAACTTAACATTTACCACTCAATTGTGCAACATAATCGTACCACTTACAGTACCATTGTTTGACTTAACACAAACATAACAACTGTTTGACATCACTCAAACATTACCGTTGTGTAACCTAAAACAAACATTACAACTGTTTAACCTAAAATAAACATGAGGACTATTTTACCTAATACAAATACTGCAACTCTTTAACCTAAAACAAACACTACAACTATTTAACCTAACACAACTGTGTAATTTAATACTAACATTACAAATGTGTAACTTAGCGCAAGCACTACGGTTGTGTAAATTAATACACCTGTGTAACTCAACTGTGTAATGAAAAGCTATGTTACAACTGTGTAATATAATATTAACATTATAACAGTGTAACGTAACACGTAAGTTACAAGGGCATAACTTAACACTTATATTACAACTTACTGTATGACTAAATACAAACGTTACAATTATGTAACTTAACATTTTTGTTACAACTTAACACTTACACTACAAATATTAACATTACGGTTGTATAACTGAACACCCACGTAGCGTTGCGAGCGCCGTAAAACACTTTACAAAAACAAAAACAAAACAACAAAAAACCCCACGTAACAATTGCGTTAAAGCAACACTTACACTACAAATATTAACATTACAGTTGTATAACTGAACACCCACGTAACAATTGCGTTAAAGCAACACTTACACTACAAATATTAACATTACAGTTGTATAACTGAACACCCACGTAACAATTGCGTTAAAGCAACACTTACACTACAAATATTAACATTACAGTTGTATAACTGAACACCCACGTAACAATTGCGTTAAAGCAACACTTACACTACAAATATTAACATTACAGTTGTATAACTGAACACCCACGTAACAATTGCGTTAAAGCAACACGTACATGGCACTTGTACAATCTCTGTATCTTGAGGACGTCGATTGTACTGTGCTGGAGGCGCTGGCCCATCTTGGCCCCGTCCGGCACGCTACGCTTCGGGGTCATAGCCGGCTTGGTCCGGTCGAGGGCAAACTCGTAGGCGTTGTAGTGCATGACGGAGGCGTAGTCGTAGGAAGTGTGGAGCGTCCTCGAATGCGTGTGTTTGTCGTAGTTGTGACGGTGACTGGAGTCCACGTTCTGTATGTCGATGCTCACGTAGTTATCGCGGTCTGGACGCGTGTGCTCGTGCCAGAAACCGATGGCGTGGGTGAGTTCGTGTATGATGATTCCTTTCCGCTCACAGCCTTTGCCGATGCTCACTTCTTGTTTACCTCTGTGGGTGCAGCCTGGCACAGGATGGATTGCGCTTTATTTTAGTTTGTAATCTTTTATCTTACTTTATCTTATTCTACTTATTTTCTTTTATTTTATTTCAATCTATCTTACTTCATATTATTCTATCATATCTTATCTTATCTTATTTTATGTATTTTATTTCATTCTATCTTATTTAATAATAATAATAATAATAATAACAACAACAACAATAATAATAATAATAATAATAATAATAATAATAATAACAATAATAACAATAATAATAATAATAATAATATTATTGTTGTCATTATGATAATTCTTCTTCCTCTTTCTCTTTCTCTTTTTCTTCTTCTTCTTCGATAATGTGTGAACTGTGCTCACAAACTGATTATAAAGCTATGAACAAAGTTTATTGGCTAGGTTCAGTTTTCACAGTTTGTTTAGAAGAGATGAAAGACATGTTAAACTCGAAGAAAATGGCATCCGTAGTAAATCTGCAAGTTTGACCCCTGAGAAGCAAATCGTTATTTTCATCCGCGCGCCTCACATAAAGCATTAATTGTGCAGCACGAATTCCAGCTGAACAGCAGCAGGCTCTGCGCTATACAATCTATATTATTACCCAAGCAGACCTCATAGCATTCTGAATCAATCCTTTGGGAAACATACAGTGCAAGCTGTCATTTTATCAGTGCTAAATGACTAATAACATAATGACAAGATTGGATTTGTTTGGGATTTTTATTTTTTTAAAAATTATTTTAATTTTATGGCGGCACTTGCAAAATCGACGAGGTCAAATAAGTGCGGGAGATTGGAGGTGTTACAAGAGTAACAAACACAAAAATGAAGAAGAGGAGGAGATCCACAAATACGATAGATCTTTGAAAGGAGAACAGGAGCGAACTACACCAGATTTACGAGCAAGCCACCAACCAAGATAGTCAGGAAGAACTCACCGATTTGCGAGGAGCAAGAAGTACTCCTGGGCAGAACGTAGATATAGTTAACCTGGTGCAGTCTGGGTACGAAGTGGATACAGTCAGTGTGGCCTTTGACATTGACGTTAGTTTCTATCTCCCGCATGGAGGCCACTATACGGTCCCTGACCACTGTGGGGTACTTGGAGTCGATGACGTAGGGGATGATACCGTCTGTCCATAGTTCTGGGGAGAAGGGGAGAGAGAGATGGAGAGAAAGAGAGATGGAGAGAGAGAGAGAGAGAGAGAGAGAGAGAGAGAGAGAGAGTGTATGTATGTGT